GATCCAACTCGGTGTAGATGATGTAAGAAGTCTGCAGTAGCAGACACCAGGGGGCAGCACGAGTTAGAAACCACACATATATATATATATGATATATATACATTATATATATGTGTATATACTAATTGTTAACCCTTTCCTTAATATATCCCATTTCCTGAATAAACGTTACCTAGCACGTTTACAAGGGGTAAAATCACGGACCTGACACTATCGAGTATCGTGATTAAAAATAGGGCGGGAAGTTTTATTCAAACTCAAGTACATCTCCGTAAATCGTACGTACACATTCAAGACGAACTAGGGAAGCTATCAGTGCTTTCACACGATAAAGAGAGCTCAGCTACATCAAGAAGTTCAAGCTAAAGTTAAATTCTTTTTTTCAAACTTTCGGCGGAGTCAAAGTCACTCAAGGCACAGCAGACGCGCGCATTAAAAAACGAAAGATTACGCAGATAAAACGAGCATTCATCACAACGCCTGCCATGTCGACGTGGATTTGGTTGTTTGCGATAGGCTTTTAACAGCGCCGATAATGGTCGAAGCACCGTGTGACAGATGTGTGACTAATGATAGCGTCTATTTGCATACGGTGTATGCCGGCTCGATACAACTAATCCCGCACGTAACGCGTTATATAATTAATGAATGTTGCGAGCCACCCTGAGCGTCGGCGCTGCTAGCTGGAGTAAATAGCTCTACAAGCCTACCTTGCTACATTACACGGCTTGCACTCTTATTTTCAAAAGAAATTTGATTAGCCGGGGTACATTATTGTCGTTGACAACTCGAGATTATTACTCTGACAGTATATACACGACGTGGCAGTAATAAACCAAGTATATCATTGACGATTACAGTGTTAACGACGTCGTATCTGTAATTGCACATTCAGGGGAACCTATGCCCCACGACATGTGACGATGTTGAGGACGATGGCGATGACGATGACGAGATAGGAGAGAAACGGGGAGCGGAAGAAAGTTAATAAAGAGGAAGCAGCGGGGTGAAGGGACATCGGGGAGGAAAAAGGGAAGTTAACGAAGTAAAGTAAATAGCAGAAAAATTCGGATGAGTTAGGCAATGAGAAGGAAGGGCTGGTAGACAGAGGCACGCGGTGTAATGCTACGTTTACACTGTGTTCCCGGCGGCCACGGCAGCCCCGTTTGCCCGAAACGTAGTGCGCCGTGGGATTATGGCAATTTTTTTTATCTGTATTCAAGTTTTGTTAGGTCTTGCCAAGTTTTCTCACGGTCTATCACGGTATCCGTGACGGGCCGTGGGGGGGGGAAGGGCTGCTGAGTTCCGGAGAGTCCAAGGCGCACTACGGTTCGGTCCGCGGTCTACCACGGATGCCAGTACGTTCCCTCCCGGCCCGTCACGTTCTGATGGGGTCCTTCACGTTTCTCACGATCTGATCAAGGTCTGGCACGTTTTTCACGTTCTGTCAAAGCTTTCTACGGATGAAACGTGGACGCCGGGCAGCTTTGGAGCACGTTTGTGCCCACGGTATAAAAAGAAGGCCTCCTAAGCAATAGCAATCATTGTATCCTGAGATTTCGACGATACAACATCATGAATGCCAAAGATGAAGAAGATTTTCTGTTTGCATGTTTGCTGGGTGCATACATACAGTCTTTGCATCAGCAAGAAGAAGGCCAGCAGCAGTTGTAGAGAGGGAAGGCCAGGGTATAGCAGTCAGGAAGAAAGCGAAGAAGGCTGATGAGAAGGCCAAGATCCATGTGGGTGCGCGAATGGTTATCGGAAGACAGAAGGCAGCAGCTTGGGCCCCTATTCACAATTTTTAGTTGTTACTTTTATTTTAGTCAGTTTAGACCGCGCGGCGCCCTGTGTCAGTCGCGTAGTAGAACGCAAACGCGCGTAGCGCGCCGGGCGCAACCGTCCTGTCCCGTCCGTCCCTTCCGCCGTCCCACTAGCGGACGCGCACTCCAAGTTTTGTTAGGCCTATTACCGTACTGTCACGTTTTGTTGGCCGTTCACCCCCGTTTTACTACGGCCTACTAGGTTTCTCATCCGCACCGTGACTGCCATGGCAAATCTTTTGACAGATTAAAAATCTGGCTCAGCATCCACGGCAATCTCGGCCTGTCACGTTTTTCCCATTCCGTCCCCCCGCGTTGTCTCACGTCCATCCCGTTTTGTCCACGGTTGCCTGAAACGGGGCTGCCGTGGCCGCCGGGAACATAGTGTAAACGTAGCATAACGGGGGGGGGGGGAGATACCTGACAGAAGAAGCACATTTAAAAGGTCATGAGTATGAAGAAAGAAAATGGACGCAAAAAGTTGCGGAAACATGAAAAATAATTTACAGTGAGATCGAAAGATGGTGCGAGGCCTGAGGCGAATCAGTAAAATAAACTTGAAGAAAGTAGAAAATATCATAGTAAACGAAAATACGAGAGAGGAGGAAGGGCGGTCAAGAAAAAGAGAAGGGGTGTATGAAAGTTCAATGGAAAGAGAAATGTGAAGCATAATATAGGACGACAGAGATAATGATAAAGATGACAACCTTGCTAGCTATCTCACATAATAATGTTATATGCACTTCGGATTATACAGTCAATAAATTACTACGTCTTTTCACATATCTCAAGACCTCTGCCATCATCAATACATCTAACAGACAGTTTAGTAGCTAGCCGATAT